CACAAGAGCAATATGTAAAATTAACACATGAATGTGTCAAACATTTAACACAAAATTTTTAACCGGCATTTTCTTTAACAAGAAAACAGAAATTTTCGAACTGTGTACGCATAGTCCCAAAGTACAATTCAAAGTTAATCGACGAGAGGCCTTAGTTGATTGGAACGGGCAATTATCCCAAGGAACACGTTGGTTTCGTTCTGCACAGTGTTTACAGTACAACTACTGAACATTAATACTTTTAACTTGTTTGAAGGACTACATAGCACAGATTATAACGTTTAAACTAACATTACATTTTTATATGCAAAGAAGAAACTTGTTTACGTCCAACAACAAGCGCAAAAAATATAGTTTTGATAAACGAAAAAGTGAAACAACTTAATAGTACATAAACTTTTGTATTACGACTGAAAAATATAAGAAACTCGTTTACTGATCCAAGTATAAAAAACATTTAATAAAAATAAATATGTCGGAGTCAATTTTTCGTCACTTAGAAATCGCGTGACCATTTTGAGCGAAAGTGAACCCATTTTGACATTTTTTATCGACTTTAGTGTGTCCCTTGGGATCTCATACCTCGGTTAACTTCAATTAATTTCCCTCGTCGCGATAATAGATCTCAAGCGTTGCGTGTCGTCGGTTGAACTTGGAAAATCCAGCAGCGAAAACTCAAGTCCGCGATATCTACACCCTCGTCAGAGGCGCAAAGTTCTCCGCGCAAACACGCCCGATCTACGCTGACCTTTATCAAGCACGAAGAAATTACAACGCAGCATTTCGCGCAATATCGAAAGATTCTGACTTCTCCCGCGCCGCAATCCAACCGCGTAATTATGTTGACCTTCGGGGTGGATTTCACCGCTTGGATCTCACACGCCGCAAGCAGATGTAATACTTGGGAAAAGTCAGTTCATCAGCAAGATTACACTATTACTGCGGAATTGGGCCGCTAGATACCGGATGTATGTACTATATATAGCATGGAACGTCCTTCCCGAAATCCCAATTTCATTGGGGTGAGGGGGGGAGGGGGGAAGGCTATAATCCGTGCGCAAAACGCCCATCGATATGCATGCAACTGTGTGCGTATAATCGTCCGGTGTACGACAGATTGACGACGGGGAAACGTGGGAATACGCGTCCAAATGTGTCTCCCATCGAGAACGAAATGCACATTTCGGAGTTATTCCTAGATTGCTGTAGCAATTCAGAAATACATAGCCATCGGTCGCGAATGTTATCACGAACGTGAATCACAATTTCCTCATCGCGCCACTTGCGACCGACAGAGGCCGATTTTTCAAGATTACGGGGTCAACGAACAAATTTCGTAGTTAAGGGGATGCTGGAGTGATTCTGCACCCTTTGCACTTTTGGCGTCTAGAGCTGTCGATTCGTGAAAACGTTTGTGTAATGTAACAAACTATGGGGCTTTTGCGCACAGACCGACAGTGTTCCACTAATCGGACTAAATCGGAGAACAGCATAGTATCATTGAAATTAAGTTTAGAAGCCTAACAAAAAAATCTATTCACTCGAATAAGTTGTAGATTACCTAACTTCGATTTTTGGTAGGTTTGTAAACTTAATTTCAACGATACCATGCTGCTCTCTGATTTAGTCCGATTAGTGGAAACTAGTCGGTCTGCACAAAGCCACATAATTTGTATTACACAAATGTTTTCATGAATTGACAGTTCTAGGAGCAAAAGGTGCAAAAGGTGCAGAATCACTCCAACATACCCTTAAGGATGATATTACATTTGTCGTACGATAAATTTTTTAAGTGTGTTGATTGGCTGCAGTACAGTAAAATTCCCGGGTCTCTAGAAATTATCTATTCTGCAGCCAATCAACACGCTTGAAAAATGCATCGTACGACACATGTAACATTAGCCTAAGGATCGGAGCACAAAGCAACGTAATAGCTTACGACAAAGACGCAGGTGTAAACGTAGATTAGCGCACGAGCTTTGGCGTATGTCGTACTTGCCTCCAATTACATTTGACTAGAGGTGTGACATTTTGATGTTACCTTTGTACGCAAAATATCGCAAAATGCCCTAGGACCGTCTTTAATGTCATATCTTTACATTTTGGAGTCCCCAACTTCGTTTTAACACGTTTTTAAAACGCAAAATGACCCTCAACACGCAAAATGGCGTTCAAATAACGTCAAAAATCGCAAATTTTCCTTAGTAAATTTTAGGGCTAAGCCAAAGAGATTTATGCCTAAGACTTTTTTTTAAACTTTTGTTACTGCTTTTACAGCCAGAACATGATATGTGATTTCAGTAATTTGTTCCATGCTATTTTAATATGTTATGTTTTATGTTACACTTTTAACATATGTTTAGCCTTAATAAATGTCGTAAATTGTTCTATTAAAACATTAAGTCGTCTTTTTGAAACCCTGCCCACCTCTGACCACGACATTATCATAAACATTATCAAAATAACGCAAAATTCGGAAAAACAAAATGCAAAATATGCCCAAAAATAACATTACAATTACTCAAAATCTGGAAAAACAAAGCGTAAAAAATGCTAAAAAACTAACATCAAAATGTCACACCTCTACATATGACGTTACATTTACGTTGCTTTGTGCTCTGACCCTAAGATACGAAAACGTCTTAAGCCCGTGTTACACTACGTATTGGAGATCGCGGATCGGATTGAGATTGTGGATCGCGGATCGCATTTCAGCCAATCAGACGAGACAGCCTCGGATCGGATTAGTTGAATTGCGATTCACGATCCGCAAAGCGTGACACAGGCTTTACGTATATAATAATCAAGGCGACCTCTGTCTTCCGCTCGCAAACAATCCGCTCGCCATACTTCGACCCGTGTTCTCCATTCACGGCGTGTCACCTTCGCGGGACAGTTGAAAATTAAATTAGTCTCGATTTCCAGTGTCCGGCCGTGCGTTAATTTCAAGTGGGATAATGTCATTATCGAGAAAGCCGAGACGCCGATAAGCGACGTTTCCGTTCTTGGAATTCGCTGTCTTAACGAACCGTTCGCCTTTCGTCTCTCGTTAAAATCGTCGTGTAACGAGAAACCGTGTAACCCCGAGGCGCAGCCTTAACTATTCAGTAGACAGAAAAGTGTGTGTGTTTATACAAACGGAACCGTGTTCCGTTTTGTGTCGTTAATTAAAAACAGTCTTCCATTATTAATTAGATAGAAGAGAAGCGAAAGAGAGCGCGCTCTTGTCATCCGGACTGAAAGACAACGCGAGACAGTCCCCGTAACAGTTTTATTACCTCCGTGTAATTAATAAATCCTTTAAAGTCATTTCCGATCCCTTAGTTGCGCGAGCACGAATTGCGCTTGCATAAAAAGGGGTACGTAGCGGTAGTTTCGCTAAACGGCAAGTAATTAAATATGCCATGTCGAGCGTAAGAATTTAACAATATACGCATGTAACGCGCGATACGTAAAACCGTGTTAATTGCGCACCTGCCGGCACTTAATTAAGCAATTCTTGACGGCTCCGCGAAATGGCGACCAGTTGCTATCGACACGATGCTATTTTAATTTATCTTAATTTTATCGAGCCATTAACGCGTTACAACGGGATGCGCAAACGTCACGTTACGCTCGAGAATATTTTTCCTTTTACCGCTTGTAATTTCACGAAACTGTTGGTGCAACGGTTGGGAAGGCGCTGAACGTTTTTAAGGCAGCAACGACTTGTGTAAGAAACCATAAACGTATAATATATCTCTATCGTTCCCCTTACTCTTCTGTTACCACCCACTATTTATTAAACAAAGATGAGGCGACCACTCAACCGCCAGCTATCTCGTTCTAAAGTTTGTACAGGTTCTGAACGTGGGAGAAGGAACGCGCAGTCTACTCTTACTATGTCCATGAATCAAACCGATTCTCCATGACTGTCCCGACCGCGGATGTCTAAAAACATCGCGTGTACGTCGCGATTCCCGAAGAGACTCACAGCACGCAGCTTCGGACTAACTTTCGATTCGCATCCCTCCCTCTCTCCCTCCAAACTTCGTGAATGCAATCATCACACCCGGGGAAAAAATGGAAAAAGTCTTATTATATGTGTCTCAATCAAGTAACATTTAACTATATCTCACGAGTTCCAATGCTAAAAATCCTCAAATCCTCAGAGACTTTCCTTGCACGTTCGAGATTATCTATTGAGATCCAACTAAATCTATAATCAAATGTCCTAAGAGAACATAATTAGATCTCAATAGATAATAGCATTGAATATTCCACAAGAGCGTCAGATCTCTGAAGATCTGATGATTTTAGAATTGGATATATAATTAGATATCACACGATTGAGACATATATAATGAGATATCTCCATTTCTCCCCGGGCACTCTGACACGTTTTCCAGGCCGCGCGTGAAACCGCGCGTTGTCTCGATGTTAACGCAAATCCGCGGAGATGTCCCCGTGGGGCATCCGGCTCTTTCAAAAACGATTCGACTCTGACGCAAGCACTCACCGATGCAGACGACGAGCGCCACGGCGAGAATCGGCGGGAAAGCCCTCGAGGACGAAAGCATGTTGCGGCTGGGATCTCAGCGAGCCACGGGACGAGAATAAGCACCCACGGCAGGGACGAAGAGTCACTCAGCCACTTTGGAGAGCGTCCCACGCGGGACCGGACGTCGGGCTGACGGGGCCAACCGGAAGGGGCGGAACCAAGATACGGCGTGGAGACCCGCGCGATAAAACGGAGAACGAAAGGAAAAAAGGCACTGCGTGCACCGCGAGCCGCTCAATCACTGCGTAGCGCCGCGAATACGTGGTCCACACCCTCGATCAACACCGAGGATCGATCGCGATCCCCCACTGACTCTGAGACGCGAACGACTTTCCTCTTGCTCTCCTCTTGAGGTATCCCTCAACAATGTTGCCCTCGGCGAGCAATCGGCGCGGGTTCGCATCCGCGCTTTCTTTCCTTCGCTCCTCGCCCCCCCTCTCTCTCTCTCTCTCTCTCTCTCTCTCTCTCGTGTACGTGCCCCCCCGCGCGATTAAATCGACAGGGAGCGTTCGCGGGTGGGTACCCCGATTCGGTGGGTGAGGCGAGCGGGGCCCGGGGGCGGAAGGGTGGCTTTTTACAGGGAGGCACGTCCTACCGCCGGTACGTCTGTTGCGGCGCCAACGTCGGACTGACTTTCTCTACGTTACGGCCGCGCTGCAGCAGTGGCGGCGCGCCGCGACGCTCCGCGCCGGACCGCGTCGTCGCGCGGGTACATCCTGCGTCACGTGTGCGCCCGTGGGCGTGCTCCGGATGCAGCGGGACACCCCGCCGACGCCGCGCGGGGGCAACTGGAGAACGCGCGCGAGCGGACCCCCGGCGAAAGCGGATGACGCCTCAGCTCGGGGAGTCGGCCCGACGCGACGCGTGTCGCACGGTCCCGTTCCTGCCACATTCGCAGACGCTCACCACGAGGAGCAACGCGATACCGTCTCGTTTTTAATATATCGCTACGTACGGGTTGTTATATTTCACTCCTGAGACATTCGGATCGGTGTTCGACTTGGATGCGAGTACGCCTTTCGCGGCGTTTATTCCTACCTACAGCGGTGTACAGTGCCGAAAGGATCAGTGTTTAATCAAATCGCTCATTTATTTTTCCAGTAGTCAGTGAACGCGTTGCTCTCGCCGACGAAATCCGGCTTATGACGAAAATCAACTTTTCGAGAAGAATCCATTTAAAGTTTTGCAATGATACTTTGGATTTGTAGGTCAGACTTCGGCCCGAGAAACTGGTAACGTTGAATGCGCGTTTGGTGCAATTTTAAATGTGTATTTGTCTTGCAATAAAATTTTTAAAGTTTAACTCTCCCTTTATCTCTTCGAGTAAAAAGAAATTAAATGAGGAAGATACTATAACAATAATAGAAGACGTAGAGAAAATACCTACTATAAAGTCTCTTTCTTTAAAACTCGACTTCCATCTCAATTTTAAGAATAGCGACCTCGGACCAGTTTTAGTGCAAAATAAATGGTTTGTAGATATTAGAACTGTCAAAACGTGAAAGCCCAAAAATTTATAAGTCAGAGAACATATATCTTGCGACAAAGATACTCGTGCGCAAATAAAATAATAAAAGTTTGGACATTGTATCGATCAATATTCCGACGCGATTTATCGAGGCGTTAGCTATCGTATTGCCTCGCCATTACTTGCCTCTGGACAAAAAAATATCCGTTTTAATGACGTAATTCTTCGTTACTTTCGTCGCGGCAACAGTAAAGCTCGCGGCAAACCGATACGTAATTAGAAAATTTATTCATTAAAGCGCGATGAAATTTTTTTTAATTAAGAGAAAAACACTCGGTCCGAAAAATACTCGACGTCCCGTGTTTCAGAGAAGACCGAGAAATGTTTGCACTCGACAAAATTACACGGCGTCACAAATGCATACTACTGCGGCGCGAGATGAGGAAGGTCGGCGGGCAAAAGCCACGGAAAACGACTACCTCGATAAATTATATTCTTCTGCGCGAGGAGGACGCATCTTGCCCGCTGTCCTTCGACGAGGCTGTAAACGCGTTTCGTGTTCCCCATCACGCACTGCGGCGCGCACGCCGGTTTACATATCGAGTTATTGCAGTATGTATTCGCGCCGTAGTTATCGGGGAGTGTATACAATGTGTGCGCGTGCATATAATGCGGCGGCAACATAGTGCCATGTGGCATCAATCATAGGATTTCCTGCAGGTGAAAGGCCAGTCAGTTCCCTCTGCGCGAATTCGCACCCCTTCCCCCGTCCCTCTGTCTCACCCGCTCTTTCACCCCTCCCTATCTCGCGCGCGTTGTGTCCCAAACAACTATCGAAATTCGGCAGGTTTTGGATCTTGAAAAAAAAAACGGAAATAGAGAACGGCAAGTATAACGGAAATAACAAGAAAGGGAGAATTGAATTTTTATTCAGCTACATTTGCGAGAAGAATAAAAAGTTTTTATGAATAAGAGAATATCTCTATGGAAAATCGTGAAAAGCGTGTATGAATAAAAATATCGTGCCGGCAAAATCAATTTGTTAAATGTTGTTATTAATTTTGGAGAGAGACGATAACTTTCTAAGTTGCAAAAAAGTATATTTAAACAATAGAGATATGTATGTAATTTTTATCACGCTGTACATCATTCATACACGCGGAGAATAAAATGCGAACAAAGTGCAAACGTTCGTATTGTTTCTGCATGGCATATACCGTTACTTCGATTGCACGTACGAAACGTATATTTCGTCGTAAAAATGATTGCTATTGCAGTGCCATTGGTACTGCGTCATCAAAAGCTTTCCAGGTTTAAAATTCTATGAGCGATTAGCTTCTCTCTGGATTATCTCCCTAATGTTACGACGCTAGAACATGAAAACTAGTTCTACCTTAAATTCTAATTAACGTTAACTGCAGATAGTGGACAACGGTTAATGGTGTACTGTACACCCGTAGATAAAATGTTAAGTAGGCGATTTACACGAATAGACGATCGCGGGCTGAAAAACATGCAAGTCTTCCCCTTTTCTTTATTTTTAAACAATTAATAAAATTCATAAGACTCTAATGTGAAAAGACAAATACGAAGTAATAAAGGAGTAAGAGACATCTACATAATTTTAATTTTTATAACATAAAATTAAAATTAGACACTAACGTCCTGTCTTGACTCTTACTCTTTTATTACTTCGTTTTTTTATTTTTAAGCCAGTTATTTAGTAGAAAAGTGCAGCGGCTGTAATTTTATATACACAATTACCAAAGTGAGAAATACTACAGTCTTTAAAGGATTCTTTAATTAAAATACTTTTCCGACTCTCCAATAAGTCGCGTATATGCCAAATATCGCAGGAAATGGGGACATGTCGTCTTTAAAACGCAGAGCACCAGACTCTTCCGTAACGCGCTCATATAGCAGGTGATTATGTACAAGTGGCCGCGAACAAAAAGGTAATGTTCCTACGGGCAAACGCACGGTTAAATCCATTATTTATGTATAAAAATTTGTTTGTGCACATATTTATGATGGAAATTAAATCTCGTGGCACACGCGTATGACCGAAATTAATTAAGGCACGGTTCCGTAAGAGATCCCATTTGTAGGCTTCGCATTGTTCCGCGGAATATTTACATTGTTTAAATACATACGCGATGAAATTGTTAATATATTATTCAGGTCGTAAACGAATATTTGAGGTAACCCGAGCGTCATGTATAAAAGATCTCATCAAGTTCCGTTCAAAAGGGCAAATTTCGTTTTTTACTTTGTAGGTCGTGGTATAACTTCACCGGAATATCGGTGCCTCTCTAATACACAGCGGTGGATCCTTTGATCAGTGAAAGTCGGGCAATATAATTTGTCAATGATTCGATCATAATGACCTATTGTTCGAGATCTATTTCATTCATAGTTATACTTTATATCGAGAGGAAAAAAATGAAGAAATCCCAAACAAGAAAATATTTTGTCGGTCCCGATAAATGAAAGACCGTAGCACGATTGTATGAGCGTTTATATGCGTGAATCGCGCTTTTAAAAATTAAAGAGACAACCGCCATTAATATTTTACTTCATCGTAAGCTAATTAAAAACTTGGTAAAGTCGAAGCTACAAAAATTAATTAACGATCTCATTAAAAGCATTTAATGGATTATTTCGCGAGGAAGAGACACGAAGCAGATGGCAGCACATTCTTGGTTCTCAGCAATGATTATTGTCATGGCAAGCCAGTCGTACCAGACTCCGTCGGTTTCAGCTACGCTACCGACAGAGGCGGCAAAGTTGAATGATCGCGAAAGATGAAAGACGGTACGACGCCGTTCAATGCTTTCGCAACGGCTCGGTGTAAGCAACGACACCTAGGTTCACCTGCTAAAATTGCAATATTGTTGCTAGAACCCATAGACTTATAGCGAATTTGGTTGCTT